GAAAAACGGAGAAAAAGAAAAGTGACACAGAAAGGAAATGCTGACAAATACCTTGATTTGATATCTTGATCAGGATACGTTTTGGTGACAGTAATGATGGTTGTTTTTTATGGGCATCCAACAAGTTGTTAACAGTTTTTTTCCATCACTCCAATATTTGATGTTTTCTCATTGCCTTGATCATGTAATTGTTAATTTTTTCGTTTTGCGTTGTTTTTCTTTCTCTTCCTTATACGGAATATTTGAAATTGTTACAATTTTTAAAGATTAACTAATTATTTGTAATTTCAAATTATTACTTTATTCGATGCGCTTTTCGTTAGATAGGAATTTTCCATTATCCACGAAGGTATGTTTTGGTTGGATTCTTAAACATAAAATAAGGCATAGGAAGCAACAAATATTGATCATTCAAATTTCAAATTTATAATACAGATCAATGTTATTTAGATACATTACATATCGATACAGCCATACCATAATCATCTTTCATTGTTTGCATAGTCTTTCGGGAAATTCGTCGAACTGTACCACATTTTTCATTAAACAATGGTAGAAGCTGAACTGATGGACAGCTTCCACTATTGTTTCAACCGAATGAGATGTGTTGTAAATGTTCGTCAGTTGTTCGGTTTATTTAAAGGATTTCACAGTTTTTTTTCAATTTTTTCTGAAGAGACTAGATTATTGAACTTCGAACTACTTGTAAAGCTCACTAAAGTTATTTTTCTAACCTCTGTTTGAGTGATTGTCTGAAAAATTTGAGTGATTGTCTGAAAAACGAAAATAATGCTTTCCACTTCTGCAAATATTTGCATCATCGTTTAATTTTCCAGCTTTTTTGTTCTCTCCAATTTATGCATAGTTCCATTGCTTAAATCTGTTATATGGCCTGTCTGTGCAGTTCATGCATATGTTATCTCCACATCAAATGCTGTCAATATCGTCGCCGTTTGTCTTAGTTTTCCTACGCAGATTCATGTTTAATGTTGGATAAATAAAGTCAAAGAAGAAACTTTCGAAATTTGAGTTCTTTGTAAATAATTTAAAATACGAAATTTTTCATCTGACAGTTTGTTAGCTCGGCTTTGTGGTTTGATAAATGTTCTAAAATGGCAGTTTGATTTGTAAAAATAATTGTAGGAGCTATGTAGAAATGACTTTCGTCCTGAAATGGCTTGCCGCCGTTGTGCGCATTTTTTCCATACGTTGTAGTTGTAGTAGTAGAACCCCCTTTAGCAGTACTAGCAGGAAAGAGCCTTACAAATAAGGACTTTTCTCTCATTCAAATTCAATCTTCTGCTTCTCCTTTCTTTTCTTTCCTCCCTTTTACTTCATGCATCACTGCCATTCTTCCTAAGTAGAGTTGTCGAATGAATCGGCCCATGCAACATTGGCCATTGGCCTTAATCTTTCCGTTACTATATATATTATATATATATATATATATATATATATATATATATATATATATATATATATATATATACTACTACTACTACTA